TATTAGAAGCACTGTACAAATTCAATAAAACAATTGATTTAATAAATTTAAATAGTATAATTTTCGTTGCATTTTATTATTTAATTTACTTTTATTAAAACTGCATGTTGATAGAAAACTCTTTAGTTAAGTTAAAACGTCTTAATGTTGTACATGATGTTATTATTTTTTTTATTAATTCATAATAGTGATTTGCATTCTGTACATCATTGAAATGACTTTCCATGTTAAATAAATCTTCGTTGACACATTGTGGGAGTATGTTGCTTTCAATTACAAGTTTTTACTTAAAACAATAATTATTTATTTTTAATAATCTTTCTGATTCTTGGCAGATCTGAAAATCATTAAAATTTATTGTTTTTACCAGAAAATAAATAAATGTATCATTTTACTTTTAATACTCCTTTTGAGGGATATGTCAATTGTCCAAGCCATTTTTCTGAAATTATTTGAAATTATTTTTCGAACTTATTAAGTAGGCTTTCATAAAGTTTATCTATAGTGGCTGTCAGGTTGCTCTTTGTAATGGATTGCTTCCATTCTCTATCTAGAATCAGTTTGCTGCTTAATATATGGAAAAGATCATTGATGTTTTTCACAAAAGCTATTGTTTCAGAAACGTCAGAAAAAAACATAAAATCCGTTTAAGAGTTCCAATGATTTAGCCGCAGAGCAACTAAAGATGCATATTTAACTTTCATCTTATGCTTTTCAAAATTTACACGATTTTTGGTCAATTTATTTTTTAGTTTCATTTTGATTTTTAGCTGATAGTTAACTAAGTTTACGATATGATTCCATTTGATTGGATTATTATTATAAAATATCATATAAGAATGAAACATATTCCTCATTAATTTCAGCATGTGGCATGCATCAAATATGATATATATTTTCTGGCCGGTTGTTGGGGACAAGAAACTTGTTTGCAGGTTTGGAAATGTGAAAGAGCATCCAAGCAATCCACATGCCGAAACATTAGTGGCCAACCCATCCATTATCAGTGAAACAACCCTAAAAAATAAATATAATGTATAAAAATTTTAACATATCTTTAAGAAAAACAAATGTTGTTTACCCTAACTCCAGCATTATGTAACTTATCAATGGCTTTCTCTATAAAATCTTTCAACTTGTGAGATGATAACTTATTGGTATAAAAATAAGCTATTGAATGCCTCCAAGCTTCTCTCAGACTAACAACATAAAAAACCAACATCTCTGAAGCAACTATGTCCTCATTCCCATCTCCATAGTTAACATATCCAATAAAGTCATCTTCACAAATAAACAATGCGTTTGATAATTTATGCTTAACATTTAACATCAATAAAATTAAATAAATTGAAAACAAATGTTTATGGTGAAATGGGAAACAAAAAAAAATCAAGAAATAAATAAAATACACAAGGAATAAACTAGCATATGCTACCAAAATATGCTATATTTTAAACTCACAATTTTACAAACAAAATATATTTTAAAAAGCCTACCAATTTTCTTATTATACTTTATTTGAGGCTTTATTGATATCGAATCAAGGATTAAAGAGCATTTGCGATATTTTATTTGCAGTACATATTTCTTTATATAGCAATATTAGTTTACAAAATATCATTATTAACTTATTCAATGTTCTCGAGTGTGGCAGTGTTAGTCCACTTTTTCTTAAAAATTGGTATGCATGAGGACCATGAAAATGCAGCTGCATATAAAAGGTCTTGTAACTATCATTATATACTTTGTTAACTCTTTTTATATGGTACGAGTTTTTTATCTAGAAGCAAAAAAAAACAAAAAATTAATCAAAATTTCAATTCATTTTGCTATGGTTACATAACATAAAACCTTTGTATGTAGCTAATTCATTTTTCAATTTATTACATTCATTCATAAGTTTTCTTATTGTTGCCTGCAGCATTGTGATTCTGGACTTGTAATACTTTGATTGCCTTTGCTGTTGCTTGATGAGATGTGCATCCATTGAGCAAAACGTCTAAATATGATTTAAGTTTGAAAGTAAATAGCTGCATCTAAAATTTTTCATCGTATATATATATAATATATATATATATATATATGTTGGTAATAGACCATAATTTTTACAATATTCTATATTCAATATTCTACCGAATGTTTGGCGTTAATATGTTTGTAGTTCGTTTTTTCGATTTTTTTCAGATAATGGCAATTCAATCCCAGGTTTAAGAACACTTTTTGTTTACTCAACTAAAAACTAAACTAAACACAATAATCAAGAAGATAAGAAAGCACATCACCGATGACAAACTTCCATCCCTTATAGGCGAATACTCTCCTGGCTACTTATATGGAAATATAAAAACGCATAAAAAGAATCATCCCATCCGACCAATTATTAGCCAAATTACAACTGTCACCTACCCTGTTGCAAAATTCTTGAACAAAATTTTAACCCCATATATTCCAAACAATTACACACTACAATCTTCCCGTGAGTTTATTAATCTCCTCAGCATTAATAAACCATCCAAATTTATTGCCTCTCTGGATGTTGAATCATTATTCACAAATGTACTAATTCATGATACAATCGACATAATTATCAACACCGTTTACCACTCAGATATGGTTCCATTGAACATACCGAAAGCACAACTGAAGTCCCTTTTTCAAATTTGCACTACTGAAGCACCATTCCACAGCCCCACAGGCAAACTTTACAAGCAAATCGATGGTGTCGCTATGGGTTCTCCCCTTGGCGTCCTATTTGCCAGTTTTTACCTAGGACAGCTGGAGAATGAAACATTCAAAAACAATGCAAGTTTAAAACCAAATATCTACGCCAGATACGTGGATGATATTTTTGTCTCCTATAACGATCCTGAACAAATCACCCAACTTCTTGGTATCTTAAACAAATCAAAACTTAGATTTACCATTGAAAGTGAAAAGGAACAAGGTTTACCTTTCCTCGATGTATTGGTCACCCGTGGCGAAGAACGATTCAAAACCGCGGTCTATGTCAAAGAAACGAATACAGGAATTTGTTTGAATGGACAAAGTGAATGCACTGAACAATTTAAAGACAGCACAATAAAATCATTTGTGAACCGGGCATTCACACACTCTTCCGATATTGAAAATCGCGACGCTGAATTAAAGAGGGTCACTAACCTGCTTGTAAACAATGGATATAAGACTTACTCTATTGAAAAGATTGTTAAAAACAAATTACTACACAGCAATAACCTTCCTAGTACCAACAATCAAGATAACGAAATCATCTTGTATTACAGAAATCACATGTCAACAGCATACAAGGTAGATGAAGCTATTCTTAAGCATATCATCAATAAAAATGTCACACCAACCAACCCAAATAGTTAAGTTAAACTCCGAATTTATTACAACAATAAAAAGACGTCTCGCCTAATACTGAAAAACAACTGCAGTCCTAGAGATAACTCTGAGTTAAAGCGTAATCACGTAATATATGATTTTAATTGCCCCTTTGACGGCTGTGCACGTCAACATGACTCATATATCGGGATTACTACTACCTCACTGACTAAAAAGCTTACGATGCATAAACAGAGTGGTGCTATCAAATCATCTTAAAATTGCAGAAGCAGTCCTAATCGACATCAATAAACCAAAAATAAATATACAACAAAAAATGACAACCTCACTTCCAACCCGGCGCTTAACCAACAACGAAAACAAAGAAGTAATAAAAACTAGCATCGTAAATTGTGACAAAGAAGAATATGATGCTATCGATGAAGAAAAAGAGACCAAAGAAGATGACCAGCCAATTAAAAAACCTGACACCTAATTCGCATCAAAGTTCAATTTTACAACACCAAAGTTACTTTTTACAACGTCAAAGTTAATCTTGACAAAGTCAATATTTCCCTATATATACAGCAAGGAGCACTGACGATGATTCATTCGGAATCGAAATATGGCCTTATTTGCAGCATGAATTCGAAAAATAAGTTTATTTTGAATTTTAATAAACTAAACGTTAGTGAGAAAAATTGAAAAAACGAACTACAAACATATTAACGCCAAACATTCGGTAGAATTTATAGAATATTGTAAAAATATATATATATATATATACCCAATAAATTAAAATAAAGAAACTTTTTGTATTCTGTATTTCTTATGACAAAAAGCCATTTTACAAAGGCATCCTAATAATAATAATAAACCCATAATATAAAAACAATATAAAAAATATTTGAACATTAATTAACGATAGTTAAAAAAATAAAAAGTCAAAAATTTTAAATAAAAATACAAAAAAGCAAAGCCTCTTTTTTTCTACTAGTCTGGGCCTAGTGTCTCCTGGCACAATGTAACTTTTAAACTTTTAAACAAATAAACTTTATAAAATCAAAATGGATCAAATAATAAATGATTCCAAAAATTTTACATAATTCAGTTTAATTATTAAGTTAAAAATCGATTAAAACTGCCGTAGAATGATTTTAGCAGCAAAAAACGTTTACAAGAATGCCGCCGGTGGCACATTAAGAAGAAGCTAAATATAGATTGGAAAACGGAAAAACCCATTGACAATTTGGTGCTAAAAAAGTTTGCTTCCAAGTTTCCTGACCTTGAAATGAAGGTCAACACTATAAAGCCATTCTTATATATAATTCAATGCTCTTAACTAAATGAATTAAACTATTTAACAAACTTTTTAAAAGTTATAAAATAAAACAATGTTTTGGTTGTATAAGGAATAACAATGGCTTTTTGCTATTAATTTATATTTCATTTTAAGCCCTTTGTAGCTTAAGTATTCTCCGTTGGGTGGCTCTGAAAAGAGCCTTTTGTTGGGACATTTCTCAAACTGGATAAAATGTCCTTATAAGAGTGAGCGCCCTTTCAAACTTATCTTCCTTTCTGGCAATGCTCCTATGTTAAACAAATTTATCCAAATAGAAAGACAAAGGATTATCACATGTTCCTTTCATTCTTATGAATTTGTTTTTGGCGCACCTCCAAAGGTTTTCCACGTTATTCGTGTGTACACCGCTAGGAGGCTTAAACGTCCATGAATGGTTGACGGTATCATGTTGGTAGCCAATATTACCAATGGCATTGTACGCTCTTCATTCATCAGACCATATTGTTAACAAGCATAATGAACATAAAATGTATTTTAGATTTGATTAATGAAATTTAATTTTAATTTACCAGGCAAAATATGACGTTGAATTAAGGGTAACAACGTCGCGGCGTCTCTTTTCTCAACCTCAACTAGGAATGCGTCGTTGGTGTCCTGGTCAATTCCACCAAAAACCCATCTATGGCGAACAGGTTTTGCAGCACCATTTTTTCTCGTCAATCTGAACTATGTGACCAGAACCCCAGATTTGCATCCATGAAAAGCACAGCTCTCGCAAAAATTGAACCAACCAATGGAGTGTTGTGATATCTGTAAAAGCGTTAAAAAAGTTGTTTGTTGTATGTCGTTTAACCTGTAGAACGTCATCTAAAAAAATTACATTGTTGAATGTTGCCAAAAATTTTATTTTTGTTAATCAATATCAATTTATATTAAAATACATTTACCAGGACACATTTTCAATCGGAAGTTTACTCTTCTGAAAAAAAAACTCCCGTGCCGGATTGACAATGTTGTTCTACAATTGTTGGTGAAACAACGCCACACCACTCCGTCTTTCAAGTTTTTTTGAGCGACATCTCCATCCCATGTCCGCATTTATTACAAACTCTAAATTGTGCCAATAATCCGTGTTCCTGACCCAAACTAATGCAGTTCCTTTTTTTTATCATTAACACCGTTAACTGGGTTGATGAGATACCACTGACGCTGGGATAAATTGCGGCCATCGTTAATTTTTTATAAAATATTGTGAGACACAATGAAAGAAAACAAAAGAAATTGGCGCCATGGATATATATAATGGATATGGCAAGTCTCATATGTATATATATATGTATATATATATATATATATATATATATATATATATATATATATATTCATACATTGGTTAAAATAAATTTTTGCGAAAAATCTTGATCCATAGAACCAAAAACGTCAATGAAAAATTAATTTTAAAAAACATTTAGCTTTTTATCTATTTTAGAATATCGTCTAGTTTTCGATTATCGTCATATCTTCGGTAGTTGAGTTATTACCAAATAAGAATTTCGCTTTAAAAAACTAGCAATATAAGTTGGTAATGTTTGATTGCTAACGTTACTGGTGTGTTTCAGTTGCGTTGGGCTTTTTTAATACTAATTTCCAAAATTACAATTTGCACTGTTATCCCTCACTCTGCTCTGCAATGGATATTCTGATAATCAATCACAATCATTCATTCATATT